GATCACTGAATAGTGGACATCTTTGCAGTGGACTTAGCTTCATCATAAGGCCATGTTCTAAGTTAATACTTCTTTATCTTAATATTTGGTGATTTGCTTCCAAATGAGAACAAAAAAATTACTAGCAAAAAGATTTGTTTATTTTTTAGAATCTAATATCTTGTAGGTAACTAACCTGGCATTTAATGCAGACACTCGCAAGAATTAAATGGATTAGTACATTCATTTGCAACTGTATCCCTTTCGCAATTAAGCTCACAATTAAATTTCACTTGAAATTGAGATTTTAGAGTTTATTAGTGTTGTGTTTGTTTGCTTGGACGATGGTATACATGAGATCCGAATAAAATCTGTGAAGCGTATAATCAAATTTATGGCGGACCAATCCCTGTTACTGAAGAGTACGGAGCAGAAGATTTTTGCTTTGGTTTCCAAATTAAACTTCAAAAGGCATACCGATATAATTATGTATTGATTAATAGACGTTTAGGTATTTCGAGGATTCTCTTCATGCATTGCCAACCGAACTTTAGTAAACCAGTGATTCTATAGTACTTTCTATGCGTGTAACATTGTAAATAAAAAATAAAATATTTTAATTTGTCTTTGAAACTAACCTTAAATTTATTAAAATTATATTTGTATCACAAATTGAAAGTCTAATCATTAAATATGCGACACATTAATCTTATTCTATAATATAATGAAAAAAAAACTTTTATAATAGGCCACCGATAAATGTTGAATTTAACTCGAATAAATTGAAATATATTCTCATTAAAACTGTACGAAAATCGAGATCATTAAAGTTGATATTAAAAAAGTTTTTGGCCCAATCGAAAGTTCTTAAGGAGTAATTTTATCTCTGGAATGTTCCCGAACAATTTTTATCCTGTGAACTTTTTATGTTCCTATTTATCTTTCTTCTTTTTCATGCACAATGGACAATATGGGCTGTTTAAATAAGTTATGTTGGGGTCTACGAGTGATGAAAACATGTAAACTGTATCTTTAATCTTGACTATCTATGATAGAGCATGAGCATTCTACTTTCTTGTATTTCTGTTGAGTATACCTACTATAAGTAAGTTATATATTTATATGGCATATTTCAAACTACATTATGCTCTTACAAATAACTGGCACTACTTTAAGGTTAAACAAAATTGTTACTTTATTTATTTACATAATAATTAAATTATTATGTTTTCGGCTTACTCACGTAATTATTTGACGAGGAACTCGACTAGTTTCAAGCCATGCTAGAGGCTCATATTAATTCAAGTTCCTTGTAAAATAATTACGTGAGTGAGCCGAAAACATAATACATAATTTATTTAGTATGTCTCTCGAAAATTATTATATAAAATACAAATTATTGTATAATTATGCTTCATGCACAATATGTACAAATAGGTGAACTTAATGACGCAGGTATTTTCTACCCGTCTAGCCCTTTCTTCAAAAAAGAGAACAAACACGAAATAAAAGTTTATCAACGACATGGGTACCAGGGTAGCATACACACTGGGCTCGCTGTCATTGCAGCGGTAAGTCCCCTCTTTGAGGAGTGGCTTGAGAGACGCTACGGCGTCCTCACCTACCGCCTGACGCAGGTGCTTACCGGACACGGAAGTTTCGGTAGGTTCCTGTTTCGGATTGGGCGGGAGGAAACGCCCGGGTGTCATCACTGCGAGGATCGCCCGGAGGACACGGTGGAGCATACGGTGGCGGTGTGTCCTGCGTGGACTGAGCACCGCCGTGTCCTCAGGAATGTGATCGGCGACGGCGACCTCTCGCGTCCGGCTCTGGTTCAGACCATGGTACGGAGCGAGGGGCACTGGGATGCCGTCTCCTCCTTCTGCGAAGCAGTCATGCTAGCTAAGGAGGAGGCGGAGCGCGTGAGGGAACGAACCTCCTCACGACCCGGCCGTCGCGAGAGACACTCCGGGCGTCGGGGATCGCGAGACGATCTCCGGCCACCGTAAGCACGGGCCTGCGGACGGCGAGCACGGGTGACTCGCCGCCCGACCAGAACCAGGCCCGAGCGTACGGCGCGTCGCGTTCCGCGCGCGCCTCAAGGAGCCATCAGACCACCACAGATGGGGCCTAACAGGGCTGATGCCGATACGGAGCCGCGGAAGACTTAACGGGTTGCCGGGGCTCCGGCTCGAAGTGCAGGAGTAGGAACGGGGTGGTTTTTAGTCAGTAAGAGTCTGACACTCCCTCCCGCCTCACCCGGGCGGGAGAAGTCATTGGATGATTTTCCCCCCTCAAAAAAAAAAGGGTAGCATACACATAAAGCGATGCTAAGGCCTTTAATATTAGGCCTATTTTTACAACACCCACACCTCACTAGCTTTTCACGACTTTGAAATACCAAGTTAATTCAAATTCCGTTTGGAATTCCGCTCACTTCACAAGGAAAAGCGAGGGTCGGCCAAGTTCGCGACCCGATTCTGGTACCCATAAGGACTGCATTTAAACTAGTTATAAGTAACTGGCTGTTTTCCAACAAACATGCAGTTGGAATACGTTCAGTTATGTGTTATTTTTTTCATTTCAATGTTCTGAGACATTTTAATAATGATACATTACATTCAACCATATTTTCCTGAGATATAAAACGTTTGAGGCTGGGAATGGTTCGTTTATTCTGCGCATGTTTTTTGTAGACGGTTTTGTTTTTTGATATTCTGTTATTGCTTATAATTTCATAAAGATTTAGGATTTTTCCCTTATTTAGCATACCATTTCGTGAAACTTCCGCCCAGAAAAGAAGTTACTAAATGTTACTTAACAAAAACGTAACGATTTAACAACCCCTGTCTCAATTTGATAGTTTCAAAAAAAGTCAAATGTACTAAAATACTAAAATGAATCGCATAGCAACACTGAACGTCCTTGACCCCGAAAAAAAAAACAAAAAAGGTATACATCCACATTCTAAAATCAAACATGTTCTTTGTTCAAATCGGTGTTTACTCCATAAAAGTAGAATGTTATTGCCGTATCTATGAAATCGTACGCCGGACAATGTTACCATTTAATGGTCTTGTAACGACCACTTTTATGTCAGTCGTATTCGTAGGAAAATAATAGTTGTGTAAGGAAAATAAATAGATGGGCACAGAATTAACAAAGGAAGAGCCATAATGTTTAACTGCTACGCTCGTAATAAGTAATTTTAGTGATAGAAGATTATGTTGGGCGTGTATGAGGGCATTTCCTGGTATACAAAATTGTATTATGTGTTAGGGAAAAGACGTGCTATTAAAATGTTGCCATAGTGACCAGCTATTAAGGTAGAAACGTACCTAACTTTTTTTATACGAAAGACGAAAGTCAAAAACAAAATCTTTCAAACATGAGAAGGAACATCTGTTAGATTTTTTTATTAAAGTAGATCTCATAGTACATTAGGGACTATCAAAGCAATGTATTGGATCAATCAATAAAATGCAGTTTTGACTTAATCCAGACGATGTTCCAACGTGCATTTGGATGTTATTTGTTGGAAAAGTTTGGGAATTTGAAATATATATCTCATTGTAGAGAAACTATTTGACTGGGGAAATGTGTGTCCGATAAGCTAAGTGGGAGTAATCTGTTACGCTTTCGTTGCATTTCTAAAGTTTAAAACATAAATTTTATTTTAAAACTTTGTACATTTTACGTTCTCCTTGATTTAAGCACTTTGTCAATAGAATACAATTACAATATAGAGATAGTATAGATATCGAAAAGTTATCGGTTTTTATTTAATACATAGTTCTAGCAACTTCAGTCAAGCGTATTTTTTTATGGCATAAACCGGTAAACGAGTAGACGACCGACGACGATCACCTGATGGTAAGCAATCGGCGTCGCCCATGGACACCTGGAACACCAGAAGCGTTACAAGTGCGTTACCGGCCTTTTGCGGATTAGGAGTTTGAGGATTGTTGGGGATTTGGGGATTGGGGAGATTGGGGAAGAAGGGAAGGGTAGCTGGGCCTCCGGTAACCTCACTCACACGACGAAACAAAACGCAAGCGTTGCTTCACGTCGGTTTTCTGTGAGGTTGTGGTATCACTCTCGAGTGGTGTCGAGCCGGTCCATTCGTGCCGAAGCAAGGCTCTTCCACACTTAAATTTGTTACTAAGACACTCAAGTAATAATGTAATAGAGGATAATCCGAAATGAAACGAGACTATTCGGTCCAATGCACAAAGTGAGGTACATTGTATTCATGTGACATGTGCGGAAACTGACTTGGATCCTCAAAATATCATCGTCAGTAAGAGTCTGACACTCCCTCCTGCCTCACTCAGGCGAGAGCAGGCATTCGATGATTTTCCACCCTTTAAAAAAAAATCATCGCCATCGTCAACAGCCAGAAGACGTTCACTGCTACTTCCCTATTAGTCCTCCACATATAAGAGTACTTTGTATAACCTAACATATGAGTCCAAAATAAACATGTAAATTCGAATTGCTCTTATTGACCTATCTCCAATATCAAAGTGTGATCACCAGAACCAACCTTCACACGTATCGACGAATACAAAATGAGTATCGATTACTCTCGTTCCTCCTTTGATGTTACTCAAACGAACAGTACATTACGAAGCCTAATTACCATGTGAACGTATGACAGTTGACGAAGTTCCTATCTGTGTACTTTGCCAAGCAATCGGGTTTCGAATATAGCCAAAGTTCGGGAATACGGTGCAACCAATTACTGAGTTCGGAACTTTGACAAAGAATCAAATTATCGGTCGTAAATTGTGTCATTTTGAGCCTTATTTTGATACAAAGATGAATTATTTTTTTAACAGTATCATTTAGCTTGACTTTGTTGTTCGCTGTAGTTCTTTCAGCAAATTTTGTTCCCGATTCTACAATAGATTCAGGAATGTATATCGATGTACATCAATAGTTGTAGGAATACCGAGTTGAGTCCGGTAGAGTGTGTTTTCTGTTTAAAAATGAGGTTGGTTTTTAAATGAAAAACATACCTCCATTGCACTACCACTTCGCCCCATGGCGACCCGACATCGCCTCAAACGAAGAAATCCTGAAACAATAACAAAATTTCTTTAATATCAATAACTTGGTACTCACATTCCTTATTACAAGGCACATTTTAATGGAGACGCCTTAAATATCACTGAAAAGACGAATACGAAGAATTTAGAAGTTCCAATTTCGATACGTTAAAATATCTTTTCAATGACAAATACGAAGAATACAACTTTTCCCTATATATCAACAACTCATAAGTCATCGACCTTTTACGAAATAAAACTGAAACGTTAATAATCCGAGTCAACGACCTAACAATTAAAAATGTTTAGGAACTTTGTAAACACGGCAAAATATCAAGTTCTAAAAAAACAGTGTATTTTGGTCTCGCTTTGTATGATCTTTCAACACTTTCAACGGTCAGTGTACACTGGTTTGCATAGCTTCATGTGAGCAACGAATGCGCTGCGATGCGAGTTGCCAGTCACGCCCGTTGCACGCGATCTGATTTTGAACAGATCCAACTTAGATATGAAACTAAACACCTACTCAAAATTATGGCCAGTTCAATTTTAAACTTCATTTTAAACTTAGCTTTTAGTGCTCTCAGTGTTTAGTAGATATAAAAGATAAAAATGTCGAAATTGATCGAAAATGAAGACTTATTAATATAAACTTAACCTTCAAGTACTGACGTGGTTTACTCATACCATAAACGGTGACGTGACGTATGTCAAACACCTTAATAAATAATCGAAATGGATTACTTTTATTTATTGATTTGCACAATATTTACTTGTATTCTGATCGGTCCAATATAATTCTATTAAAGAAAGTGCAAAAATTACAACATTCTCGAATGAAATCAGCGGTTTCTGATTCAAATTCTATAAACTTAAAATATAAATATTTCGCATAACTTAAAAAACTATATGTTACAATCTTAGCTACAATCCAATTATTTGGACGTTTTTTTGGAAAATTCTTATATTCGTGAACACGCCGTCTATGTGACACCCACGTCAGTAGTTAAAGGTTAAGTCACTCAGATCATTTTATTTTAGACTGTAAAAGATTCGTAAGGACATCGATGCTGTAACTCAAATACATAACTATTTTCCAAATACATATTATGTGTAAAATATATTTTTTGTAAAGAGTTACGATTGGAGTTTCTTGTTCGTTCATCTACATATCTACATTTTGGAACAAGCACCTATCTTCACTGACAAACAGGCTGACAGACTATTCTGTATTTGTTGACGTTCCAAAAGTACCAAATTATGGTAATTGAAATTAATGCTTAGACTTTGACTTTGTAAAATGTACCGTTCATTTCATTTTAAACATTTTCAATTAAAAATATTATGTAGATGAATGCCTAACCGCAAACAAACGGCTATCAAACTCAGTCATCCAACTAAATTCTTACTCGATAATTAAATCAACAATGCGTCCAGTCAATGATTGTTAAATGAGATAATACAATTGAGTTGTCATCAGGAATTCGACACAATATTGTTGCGGTTGAAACAAGCAGGTCATTGTTAAAAACATAACGATGGGATTACCTATAATAGTTAGTACCTGGATGATGAACTTTGTTCAGTTTTTTAGTAAACGACATTTTCTGAATATGACACCTAGCTAGATCGACTTATCGCCCTCGAAACCCCCGCCTAGATATCGTTGCAGCCGTTTCTGATATCATTGACACATGTGTATACAAGAAGAACTTGTTTAAAAGTTTTTGATAGATGGAACAATGTAGTATTCTTATGCATTTTTACGTAATTCTTAGATTTTATAAGAAAGCATTAAGATTTAATTCTTAAAAACAGACTTTCTACTATTGTTGCTGATAGGACTCTGTTAAATTATTTTGGTTCGTCAATCAAAATATTGGGTTACATACCTACAGTTTGTTTCAAAATATTGTCTACCGCAACAAATCAAACGAATCACTACAAAACCTGGAGCTATTCGAAACATGAAATCCATCACCGAATAATCGATTACGATTCGATTGAAACATTCGGTTCCATCTCTACTTCAAAGTTTATAACCGAAAAGCGTTTATTGTAATGGAAAAATGACAAACGAGCGACATTATTTGCGATCACACAAACAGATATGTAACAATTACTTTTCATTGTCTACCATATGGACCAATGTATATGGACTTAACATTTTAACCGATACGTTTTTGTGTATTTAATGTTCGTACAGTACTGTATATTTAATCATGCAACAATAATTTTATTGGGTGTATTAATTTCATGAGGTCACAGTGAAAAATAATTGTATTGACTACGATAATTTAATAGTGTAGTATTGTTATTGATTCAAAAGGTTCATTTTGTGACCTACGAAGGGTCGATGCCCTTTTTCTTTTAGCAGTTAATCGTGCACATAGATCTGTCGAAACCTATCAACGGTAAGTAGCAAGTTTTTTATTTTAAGGGGTGAAAATCATCGAATGTCTGCTCCCGCCTGGGTGAGGCGGGAGGGAGAGTCAGACTAAAAACCACCCCGTTCCTTCTCCTGCGTTTCGAGCCGGAGCCCCGGTAACCCTAGGTTCTCCGCGACTCCGAATTGGCATCAGCCCTGTTGGGCCCCAAACATGGTGCGCCCGGAGTGTCTTTCGCGATGGCTAGATTGCGAGGAGGCAGCGCTTTGCTGCCTCACGCGTCCCGCCTCCTCCTTAGCTAGCATGGATATGAAAACATCGTGAAGAAACCAGGGCTTGAAACCATAATATCTGAAGTTTAAAATCGTCAACCCACAATGACCAAGCGTGGTGATTAATGGTCAAACCTTCTCCGTGTGAGAAGAGGCTTTACTCAGCAGCGGGCACTTATAGGCTGCTAATAGACCTGTCTAATACTATGATGCTCCATGTAATGCATGTGGCTTGTAATCGCAAATCAAAATATATTTTGATCTGCGATTACAAGCACCAGATCTTTAGTAACTAACATTTTCTTTAATTAATCGTACAATTTCTTTTTCTATATTATTATTTTTAATATCATATTTTAAAATAACACTGCAAAATTCTGCATTTGTTTCTGTTCTAAATATCTAATTTGCTCCGTTTGCTATTAACTTTTTTAGCTTCCATTACCAAGATTATTTTGCAGCACGATTTTCTTATAATATTCACTTTAATATTCATTTTTTATTGAGTAAACTACGAATGCTTGTATGTTTCAAGAAACATTTCATAAACATATTTTTTAATTTCTTATTTTCCAATAATGTTATTTGGTTTGCAGGTAATAATATAAATATTAAAAGAGACAGTTAAACTAAATTAAAAACAACAAAACAGTCTAGATTTTTAAACCTATTTCCTAACATAAACAGCCTATAAGCGTCCATTACAGTCTAAGCAAAGCCTCTTCTCACACGGGGAAGGTTTGATCACCACCCTTGCTAATTGCGAGTTGGCGATTACAACCACATAATTAAAAATTATAAGGCCAGATTTCCTTACGATGTTTTACTTCACCGTTTGTCAGTGATGTTTAAATAATCTTAGAAAATACATGTAACTCGAAAAAAGTCACATTGGTACTTGCCGTTGGTAGGTAAGTTTCGAACCCGCACTCTCATGCATTAGAAGCGGACGTCTTAAGCTCCGGGGCCTCCACTACATAAGCCTATTTCTATACTGCAATAAATAATACACTTCTGTATATAAACTGAACTAGCTGTACACAATCAACGCAGACATTCTACAATTACTATACAATATAAAAACTGTTGTATCATCATTCTACTATTAATCATCTTCTTCACCAAGAACAGGCTTAATATAAACATCTAGAATAAGAATTAGTTCTTGAAACATTATATTATTAATGACTGAATCATTGACAGACTACATAACTGACATTCAAAACTGCTGACCTTAGACAGCTGAATTCTGGTATAAAGGCTCCTAGAAAAGTCCTTGAGTACATCGAGCTTAATTAGAGAAATTCCATGTGTTTTTATAATCAAAATAATCTATTCGTAGTTACTCTATAAACTTCAACAAAAACACACTTGAACTTGTTACAAAAATATTAAAACTAGTTTAACTTGAATCACAATACAAGAAATGCTTAAAAAATAATAAAACTCGGCTACGTATCGCGTGCGGACCCAAACAATACACAAATTGCGATCGACATGAAAGCTCTAACGATTGAGGAAAGTAAATCACTTCATATAAACGTACAATGTTGCGGTTCCACAATGAGATCGTTTAATCAAAAAGGAATTTGGAAAAAATGTCAAATTCGTTCCGTTTGCCCTTTCTCTTGATAATGTAATCGCCTGTGATTGAACAACCATAGTATTATCGAGTCATTCGTTTTAATTGCTTCAGTTTTCTTTTATTTTTAGTTTGCGCTAAGAGATCACGATTAGATGGCCGGGTACTTATTAAAGTTATTAAGTACATATTCAGAGGCGCACTGCCTCTTGTGTTCCCGACGATATGTTTTTTTTTTATTATAAACTAGTTGAATTTATCCACGGACTTGTGTCCATGCCCTTGTTATATTACAAGTGCATGATTTTTATGGTCAAATAATTTTTATAAAGATCTTACATGCTACGCCAACCTCTTATCTCACTACACACAGTACTTTATGTTATTATCTAATTATTTTAATCTTATTATCTTACACTAACCATTTCGTAGGTACGGAACGACCCAGCCCACAGCGCCACCAACTAGAACATTTACGAATGCATGACGTCCCTGCCCACGCGGCAGCAAGCCAATTGCAGTAGTGCTAGTGGTTTTTATTAGTCATATTAATAAACTTATGAGGATATGATAAGATCCTATTAATGAACCACATACTTGACAGACAGATCAGGCTGCAGTGATCGCTTTCTGATAAGCCTGTAGAGGCTATGGCAAGCTTCTAATCGAGCAGTAGACTTTCTTCGCCTATATAGGGTGTAAACAAGTGAAAAACGCCGACAAGTGATAGTCAAGAACAAATTATATTTTCATAAAAGAAGGAATTTAGTGTTTATTTTATGCA